GAAGTTATAAAACTTAAAATTCCTGAATATTTATATGTTCACAGTATACTGTTAAATATTCTGGTCTTTAAAATTTTACTTAGCATAAATTTATAGTAAGAGATATATCAATTGTTTCAACATTTTAAAATAAATATTTTAATATTTGCTAGACCATGGCCAACATGTTTTAAAAACTGAAAATAAGCATTTTTTTAAGGTTGGTAAATTTTTTGCGCATATTGTTTACCCTGTCTTATTTAGAGTTAGTCTTAGTTGATAATTTTTTTCAGTAAATGTTTGTTCACCACTTAATATGTGCTTTAATCTGAGTTAAGCACTGTAAATTAGGATGGGGAAGGTTAGCAGTAAACGAGGTACTCCTATCTCTGCCCTTATATGTGTGTGATCTTGTAAAATAATATTAATGAATCCCCAAACCAAAAGTTGTATAACTAAAACTTAAAGTACATGATGAAAAGCTAGGACAAGTGGTCATAAAATGGAGACCTACTTTCCTTGGTAGGCAGTGGTACAGAAGCTTTGCTGAGCAATTGGTTGTTACATGAAAACATAGCCATTTAACTAGAGTGGTACAGAGATGGGGTAGAATGGAGTAGAGTAAAGTCAGGGGTAATCTGCTTTTGCCATTGGACTAAGCCTTATGTTTAGGTTGCAAACAGCATAAAACTGGGCAGAAAGTGCTATGTGTCTTTAGGTTTTGCACTTTGAGAGAAGGGAAGAGCATGAGATGAGGTTTGTGATTGCTCTGGCTCTCTGTCTTCAGACAGTATTCTGATTACCATTTAGCAAGATGGCATCTAAGCAGAGCATGGTAGTCATGCTATGCAGAAGAGACAGATGTTAGAGTTGGAGGCGGCGGAGGCAGCTGGAATCTAGAGAATCTATGGGACAGTACACTAGAGAAATGGCAAGTCTTTACCTGACAACACCTGAGTAGGATACTACTGAGGCTCGTCTCTAGAGTGACTACTACAAGGTTGAAAGCAGAACAGAGATATTGTAGGTCAAGCAGTATTGAGAACATTAGTGTTTCAACGCAGCTAGCCTGGAGAGATGCTGTTAATAGCTCAGACATTAGAACGTCAAGCCTTAGATAATGTTCACATCTATTAAATAAAACATAAAACCCTCATAGTATCTGCAAAGGAGACAGATTTGGAGATAACAGAATTTAGAGGGCAATGGGGGCACTTGGCTTTCCACATTTTTACCACTTACAGTGTTTAAAACCAAGCCTTCATGAGACCTAGGTGATCAGCCTGTAGTTGAACTACCTTGGGGACAAAAATCAGTACTCTTCAGAGGAAGATAACAGAATCCAGAATCTTTACAATATGCCATTACAATGTCTAACAAAATCAAACTCACTGCCATTGAGTCAATTACAACCCATAGCGACCCTATAGGACAGGATAGAACTGCCTCTGTGGGTTTCCAAAACCATAACTGATCATGCGACCAGAAAGCCACCTCTCCCTCCCATTAACCCTATAAAACCTGAATTTTTAATTTCAGGAAGAAAAAATTTTTTGTTTTATTCTTTACTTTCATATTTATCAATATATATATAACAACCAAAATATATTAGAAAAATATAAAATTTGCAATGTTTTTAAAATGTAACCAAATTGTCACATTCGTCCATGGATTTATAATACAAGAATTAAAAATACACCTTCATTTCTCTATTATTTTTCATCTTATTATTAAATAAAAATCAAACTGAAAACTTATTTATTTATAAAATATAATACAAAATTTATTTGTTTATAATTTTACTTAGTGTGAAATTGAACCAAACAATTTTTTTCTTTTGTGATACAAAGATGAACTTTGCATTTGCTGCAGAAAAATACTGGTGTGCTCTTGCAATTTACATTTTTCCGTCTTCCTCTGTTTGTGAGCTCAGGGTAATGGTGAAGACCATCCA